CACAGCTGCCCCTCCACCCCAATCAATACTGCTCAGCATTAACAAAAAATCGATGCCCCTCCCTGCCCAGCCTGTGGCCACCCCGCAGCAAAATCCTCTAAGCCCCTCACCCTCCTGCTGGGGGAGGAGGAGGATGAGAGGATGGGGACCAGGACGGGGGTCCCCTTTTCAGCCCCCTCACACAGGCACCTGCAATCTCGGGCCCCACATCCCCGAGGGCTTTCACAGCAATGGCAGCAAAATGGGGACACGCTCTGGTGACATGGCCGGGGTGGCACAGGGGTTACTGTGACAAATCCACCCAGGTCCTGACCCCCTCCTGTCACCAGCCCTGCTGGGGACAAGGGGCTTGGCTGGGACATGGGAGGATGGCATCACCAAGTTGGGGCTGGACGGAGAATGGTGGGATCAGTCCCTGTGAGGGTGTGAGCAGGCAGGAATGGGCAGGAGCAGGGATGGAGCTGGGGCTGGGGCTGCTGGTGCCAGCCAGGCCTCTCCTGTCCCTGCCACGCCATCGGCCCTGTCCCCCAGCCCCGGGCAGCCTGCCACCCTCCTGGCTGGGCCTGGCCCTTCCCCAGGGCTGGGGCACTGGGGGCACATCCAGCCCTGCTCCTCTCCACCGCCATGTGCATCAAACGCCCTTGTAGGAGGTGTGAAGATGCCTGGTGGCACCCAGGGATGGTGGCATGCCCCAAGACTCCTGGTGTGTCCCCAGACCCCTCGGCATATCCCCACAGCCCCTGCTATGTCCCCAAACCCTGCCCCCCTCCCCACATGCATTTTCCCCATAGCCTGAGCCCCCTGGCTGGGGTGGGGGCCAGACCCTCCTTCCCATCAGTGCTGAGGAATTCATTACCGGCACAGCTGGGCCCTGCTGGGGAGGCCAAGCTGCAAGGAAAATTAACCCCTTCCTCCCCAGGCTGCCAGCACAGGAGCGCTCCCTGCCACAGCTGGCAGGAGGGACAGTCCCCTCCTGCATGGGGACAGCTTTGCAAACCCCAGTGCTTCCCAACCCAGCGTCTCTAGGCTTTTATTCACAAGGGAAGTTGATGTGTCTCCTCCCCACATGGCCCTTGGGACAGGGGGATTTCTCTGCTCCCCCCTTGGAGGAGCCCCCCAGACCTGTGCCCTGGGGCTGGAGGGGGCAAGGGGGCATACCTCAGTCCTGGCTTGGCTGAGCCTGGGAGACCCCTGCCCCTGGGATGGGCGTTCCCACCCCAAACCCTGCAACTCAGCGTTGCCCCCAGCTCTGAGCACCCCCAGGGCTTTTGCCCTCCTGGGGCAGGGGCAGAAGGACCCGGGCTGCCCCCAGTTTGTTAGAAAGGTTTTATTTCTCTATATTTACAGACTTCATTAAAAAAAATAAACAACAAATCCCTGCCCTTCCCTCTCCCCATGGCACTGCCCACCCACAGCCCTGCCCTGGGGGTGGGGGGCGTTACTGGCCATGGGGCACAGGACTCCAAACGGGGTGCGTGGAGGGGCAGCAGGCAGGGGGGCGCCCTCCATTCACACCGACACCCCCCAGACCCCGCGATTCCTGCTGCAGAGGGCAGAGCCGAGCTGGGGCTGCCCCATGCCGTACCCTCGTCTGCCCCACGGGGCAGGAGAAGCAGCCCCCGGGGCAGAGCTGCCCCCGCCTGCTGGGCCCCCCAGCACTCCCCGTGTCCCCCCGGCCCCAGGGCAGGCACGGTGGGCGTTTGGCTTTCAGGACGTGGCTCTACCACAAAGCAGAGGAGATAAGGGGGGGGACAAGGGGGTCCCCCGAGCACTGGGAGCCCTTGGGGGGGTCGATGGCTGCTTGGGGGAGGCGTATAAAATCTCATAAATTAAAGGAGACACCGGGGAGGGAGGGCTGAGATGACCTCCCACAGGTCAGTGCCGGGACTTTGGGGGGCTGAACCCCCCAGCTGTGCGCCAAGAAGAGGTTGGGGTTGGCAGGGGGAGCTCCCCCCAAGCCCTCTGCTTCTCTGTGGGTCTGGGGGTGTCCGGGGGGTTCACAGGGCTCCCCATAGTCCCCCCTGCAGCCAAAGCCCTTCTCAGGTTCCAAGCTGGGTGTGAAGGCAATAAAGGGACTGGGGTAGGGGGGCTGGGCCACACAGGTTTGTCTTCTCTCTGAGTCCAGCATCCTTGTGCAAAGCCCTGTGCCCGCCCTGAGAACAGACAAAGGAAGCAACCACCTCTAAAGAAATAAAGATTCACCCAAAGCCACCCCGGAGGCTCCCGGCAGCGCCAGCAGCGGGTCACTGGTTGTCCCCAGGCTGGTACTGGGGCTCGGTGGCAGTGAAATAGTCCTCGAGGAAGGACTGGAGGTACTCGAAGGTGGGGCGCTCCTCGGGCTCCCTCCGCCAGCACTGCACCATCAGCTCGTGCAGGGAAGGGGGGCAGCTCCCCGGGCACTGCATGCGGTACCCCCGCTCCACCTGCTCCAGCACCTCGCGGTTGTTCATCCCTGCGGGACAAGGACCCTGTGCTCAGGGACAGCACCACCTCGGACAAGCCAGCACTGAGGGGGGAACTGAGGCACACAGCGGCACTGTCCTGGGGTTTGGGTGGGAGCCCAGTTCAGCACTGGTGCCTCTGAGGGGGAAACTGAGGCATGGGAGGAGCCTTGCTGAGGAGGTCAGCCCCTGTCTGGGCCCTGTCGAGCCCACCTGCCCCAGGGGCCGTACCTGGATAGGGCACGCGGCCTTTGGTCACCAGCTCCGTCAGGAGGATGCCAAAGGACCAGACATCCGACTTGATGGTGAACCTCCCAAAAAGCGCAGCCTCCGGGGCCGTCCACTTGATGGGGAACTTGGCACCTGCAATGGGACACAGGTGAGCCATGGCTGGGTCTGCACCTGCACCCAGAGCACCCTGCACCTGGTGCGCCCACCTCTGGGGACAGCCCACACCTGGAACATCCCACACCAGAGGCGCCATTGCCTGAACTGCCCCTGCTGAGGGTGTCCTGCCCCAGGGGTACCCTGAACGGGGGGCACCCTGCACTAGGGGCACCCCCTGCCTGGGGCAGCTCACACATGGGACACCCAGCACCCAAGGCACTGGGGATACCCTGCCCCTGGGGTTCCCATCACCTTGGACATGCATCATCCAAAATACCCACACCCTGGGGGCACCTGTCCCTGGGGGCACCCATTACCTGGGGCACCCATTCCTTGGGGTACCCTGGGGGTACCCATTCCCTGGGGGCACCCATTCCCTGGGGCACCCATACCCTGGGGTGACCCAAGGCATCCATCACCTCAAACACCCATAAATTTGGGGTGTCCATCACCCCATTCCCAGCACACCATAGCTTGGGGCATCCAAGCCCCGGTCACCCAGCCCGGGAGGGCCATCTCCAGGCTAGGGGACACAGCAGGGGACACTGCGGGTGCTCCCACCCTGCCGCGCTGTGTACTCGTCATCCTCGATGAGGCGCGCGAGGCCGAAGTCAGCGATCTTGCAGACGAGGTTGTCTCCCACCAGGATGTTGGCAGCACGCAGGTCCCGGTGGATGTAGTTCATGCGCTCGATGTACGCCATGCCTGCCGCAATCTGGGGGGGACGGAGCGCTGGAGACCCCAGGACATCCCAGGGGCGCCCCTCACCCCGCACCAGCCCCCGTACCTGGGCGGCCATGTCCAATCTGATTGGGCACCTGCCCCAATCTGGGGGACAGAGCAGTGGAGACCCCAGCACTCCCCGGGGCACCCTCCACCCCACACCAGCCCCCGTACCTGGGCAGCCATGTCCACCAGCTGGGGCAGCTTCAGGTAGCGCCCGTCCCCGTCCTTGAGGAAATCCAACAGGCTGCCTGCAGGCAGAAGGAGTGTGTCAAAGACCCCCAAACCCACGGGTGCCCTCCCTGTGAGCCCTCCAGGCAGTGCCCCCGCTGACCCTGGCTCATGAACTCGGTGACGATGTAGATGGGCTCCTCCGACACCACGGCGTAGAGCTGCACCAGCTTGTCGTGCCGCAGCCGCTTCATGATCTGGGCCTCCTCCAGGAAGGCCTCGGGGGACATGGTCCCCGGCTTCAGCGTCTTCACTGCCACCTTGGTGGTGCCATTCCACGTCCCTGCGTTGGGGACGCAGAGTCACCATGAGCGCAGGGGACAGCCAGGCCAGGGCAGAGGGTTGTGTGATGGAGAGGTGTGTGCGTGCATGCCTGTGTGAGTGGATGGATGGATGGATGGATGGATGGATGGATGGATGGATGGAAAAGGAATCAGGGCAGGGCAAGGACGGGATCCCTGGGCAGGGATTGTGATCCCACTGCATCCCACCCAGGACAAGGAGTTCCCCTCACACCCGTACCGACCTCACCCCATTCCCAAACCCTTCGTGGATTCTGTGCCAGTTTTAATCTCCCCCACACAAGCAGGTACCTCCTGGCACCCTGTGGTGCTCCCTGCCAGGACAGAAGGAGCCTTCTCCTGCCCGCTGTGCTCCCCAGCCCTGGCCGGCCGGGCCAGCCTTACCCATCCATACGTCTCCAAAACATCCCATGCCAAGTTTCCTGTCCAGGGTGACGGATTCCCGAGCTATCTCCCAGGCGTCCTTAGCTAATCCCAGGGTCTGGGGCTTCACGGCAGGGCACGGGTGGGTGAGCAGATGGCACAACCCGTCATTGTACTCTGCAGGGGATGGGGGGCAGGCAGGGAACAGGAGGGAGGGGATGTGATGGGATGAAGGCAGCATGCATGAGTGGAGGAAGCAGATGATGCCGGAGGAAGAGGATGACGAAGGTGGGACCCCCTGGCCTGGTGCTGTGGTCCCATCTGCAGTGGGAGTCTGCTTGCCCATGCAGAGGTGACATGGGGCATCCTGGGGGACCCATGTGAACCCAGAGCAGGACATGGGATAATTCCTCATGCCAGCAAATCGGTGTCTCTCAGCCTGTCCTGGCAGGCATGAGCTTTTCCCAGTGGGGCACCAGGCCTGGGGGTACCCCCACGTCCCCCCTGCCTCTTGCCTGGCTTGCCCACCAGGCCCTACCCATCCAGACTTCCCCGAACTGCCCATTCCCCAGCTTCTTGAGGAGCTGGAGGGACTCGCGGGGGATCTCCCACACGTCTTTGGTTTTGACTGAGAGGTCGGCCAGTTTGGGGGTTCCCTTGTGGCACGGCACAGCCAGGCGGCAGCACAGCCCAGCTGCCCGCTCTGCAGCATGGGAGCAGGGAGGGGACAGGAGTCAGAGTGGGCACAGACCCCCAGCCCTCTGCTCCCCTCCCACCGCCCCAGCATCACCAAGGCTCTGTGTCACCCACTCACCCCCAGCACAGAAATGCACCCCCTCCACCTGCCCCAGGGACAGCTCTGCACCCCCTCAGCTGGGCTGGACTCTCAGTCCCCCCAGCTGCATCCGGGGCCATGCCCACCCACCAGAGAAAACGGGAACTCCCTGCACCCTGGACATGGAAAAGGGGAGAGTCAGGGAGCCCCCTAATGCCACCAACAGAACAGCCCCCTCCTTCCCCAGCTCAACCCCCTCAGCCCCATCTCTTACCAAAGGGTCTTCTGAGCTTTCCCTACCCCTCCTGTTGTCCCCCCTTGCAGTCCTCACTCCACCCTACCTATATAGTGCTGGACCAGCTGCTGGACGGTGCTGAACTGGGCACGGGTGGTGATGTAGTACCCTCCACTGTCCAGCTTCCGAATCTTATAGTGCTTGACGTGGTCTCCCTTGGCCTCATCCCAGTCCCGGATGGAGAGGGAGTAGGCACCTGCGTGGGACACGGGTCAGGGAGGGACGTGGGGCACAGCCCCCGGTGCCCCCAGCCCTGTGCCTGTACCTTTGGTGGTCTCGCTCTCCCGGATGAGGAAGGTGCCCCTGGAGTTGCCGTGGCACAGGAGCTGCCGCTCTGCGTCCTTGCGCCCGATCTTCCCAAAGTACCACCTGCCATAGTGAGGGGGCTCAGCGCCAGGAGGGGACCACGGAACCCCCGTGCCAGCACTGAGCACTGCCGGGGCTCACAGGGACACCTGGGCCCGAGGCAGGTGGGGTTGGGGTGTGTCTCCCTCCCTTGTCCCCCACTACTCACTCTTCCGCCTGGATGGAGTCCACAGGGGCCACATAGTTGCTGGGGATGTAGCCCGTGGCTCCCGAGCTCAGCGACCTGGCCTCCCACCAGTCCCCCTCCCTGGGCAGGGAAACAGAGAACGTGGAGGAGGAAGGACAGACAGACAGACAGACAGACCCATCACCATGTGCGTCCCCACCCTGCACTCAGCACCCCGGACCTGCTCTCCCCCACCCATCTCTGCTGAGAGCAGCCAGCTCATGGCCCTGGCCCTGGCGCTGAGTGATGGAGCGCAGACACAGCTTGGGTCCCCAGCCTGGCTCCTGGGGGGCTACCCGAGGCACCAAGGCCCCTCCCCGGGGTGGCATGGGGGTGCTGGGGTGGCAGGAGGTGCGGGGGGCTCACGTGTTGTTGATGATGTGGAATTTCTCCCCTTTCTGGAATGTCAAGTCATCCTCCGTCCGGGCCTCGTAGTCGTACAGGGCGATGAAGAGTGTCACCCCGCCGCCTGTGGCACACGGAGGGGACGGCGGTGACCCCGGGCTGGCAGGACATCCCTCCCTCCCTCCCTCCCTCCCTGCCTCCCTG